GTTGCCAGCAAGTTGAGCTGCATTGAGGTTGGAGTCCATGAGGTGGGACAGCTCAGGTTGGAAGCCAAGAACCCATTGACTGGGCGAGAAGCCAGCAACTGCAGGTGTGGCGTTCTGCTGTGGGATCACGTAGCAAAGTGCTTCCTTGATGCCAGCAGCGTCGTTGAGCTTGCGGTCATCCATGTAGACCTCACAGGCACGGCGCAGCACTGCATGACGGCGCTCAACCAACGAAAGGCGCTCATGAGCTTCTCCTGGTGCTACTTGATGGTCAATGCCAAGTGAGCTTGTCCAAGATTCAAACGGTGCACCAAGCCAAGGTCGGCCTTCATCGGAGATCAGCTTCTTGGGAGGGCCAAAATGGCGAACCCACATCTTTTCCAGAGCGGTGATGTAGGACTTGGAGGTCTCCTCATGAAGCAGGTAGGCTGCCATGAACTTGGTGCCAACATCAACTATGCTCAGCACTGCAAACTTGCGGTCTGCTGGCTTGAGGTAGAAAACGTCAGCCTGAATCACTTCGTTGAAGGTCTTGGGCTGTGGCATGGATGATGGAGCAACCTGGTTGGGCTTCTTGTGCTTCAGACATGCCACACACTTGTACTCCTTGGCAGCGGCGATCACAGTGGGATGAGCTCCTCTGGCGGTCAACAGATCAGCCAGAGCATCAGGTGCCGGATGGCCAAGGTTTCGGTGTAGCCGTTGCACCGTTCGAAGAGCATCTTGTCGGTATTCAGACTTGAGCTTGAGGAGGTGTCCGGTCTCTTTCTTGCCAGTTTCATCGACCACATAGGCGGTGTCCCACAGTTGAGCGGTCTCAGGACGAGCCAAGGCAGCAGCCAGTGTCGCTGCAAAGCCAGGTTGGTAGTCTTCCAAGTAGGTGGTCCGGCGGCCATAGCCAGGAGCAGAACCTTCCAAGGGGCAGTGGTAGTGGTCATGGTCACACTTCAGCTGGAAGGCCTCTAAAACAGCCTGCTTTGTGGTCAACAGGCGAGTGCTCTTTTGGACAGGTCGCCAGATGCCGTCGGTGTCCATGCACATTGCTCCATAGCGGCATTGGTCGAAGTCGGCATAGTAACCAGGAAGATCTCGGAGAGCCATCGTGTTCCAGCTCAAGGCATGTCGGGGCTGCTCCAAGTGGGCATGCCGTGCATTGGTCACCTGTCGTAGGTAGATGCGCTTGGCAAAGCAGAGATGGCGACGATGGTGGTGCTCACGTCGAGCCTTCAAGGCTTCTTGCTGTGCAGGGGTGCGACAAGCCAAGGTTTGCATTCTTGACCACAGGCGGCATTCTGGTGCCACCAGCACTTCATCAGGTTCTTCTTCATCAAGTCGTTGGAGTAGCTGTTGTTGATGGCTGATGAGGTTGAAGTCCCAGCCATTGTCCAAAGAAAATCTTTCCACCTTCATGCCAAGCTCCTCTGCGATGTGGCCAGTGCGAGCTTTGCCACAGTAGATTTCCCAGAGAACTCGTCGATGGTCGGGAGGATTGTGAAGCTCCTGAGTGATATAGGCTTCGGTGGAGTTTGAGGTAGTGACCAACTGAGTCTCCATGGTTCGAAGGGCATGTCGATGAAGGCGAGTGGATTGCAATTCGCCACCTGCTAGAGCCACATCTTCAGCCTGAAACACATGTTCGAGCTTGTTAAAGTCCTCGAAGTGGAGATGGCTGCCAGGTGTTTCCTCAACAATGCGAAGGCTGAATAGGGTTTTCGTGGGATCAGGTACTTCCTCCATGCCAGTGGTGAGGCTCAACAAGTACTCGCCATGGCGGCCCACAAGCACTGAGGTCCAAGGCGATTGCCCAAAGCGAATGCGCTTCTGGCTGAAGTCGATGCCCATGTGCAGAGCCTCAATCACAGGTCGGCCCATCAACATTGGCGTGTTGCCAGGAACCAGGTAGCATTGGATCGTGCCGAACTGGCCATCGATCATCACCGGGAGATCCACTGTCCATGAAGCTCGTGAGGATGCATCGCCACCAAAATGGAACTGGCGGTCACATCGAGCAAAGCGGATGGTGTTGATGGGGTAGTTCATGGAGTGCAAGTGGCTCAAATAGCGGCCGAATGAACCATATCCGCACAGGAAGGCAGATGCACCTGGGTCAAGCATGGTGGCATCCGGTCGGTCGGTGCCCATCTCATCCTGGAACAGGACCAAGGCGGTCTCATTCTGCAAGGCCATACCCTCAGTGGGTGCAGGTCTCTTGTTGGACGATGAGGGTGATTTCGCACCTTGAGGACATTGCGCTGCCCAATGACCTGGTTGGCCACAACGAAGGCATGTAATTGCCTTTGCACGACCTTTTGGATCAGCCTTTCCACCTGAGGAGGGTGGATAGCGCACCACATTCTTTCCTTTTCCTTTGCTTTTGCTCTTGCCCTTTCCTTTGTTCTTGCCGGCGCCCTTCGAAGGTGAAGAGGATCCAGAGGCGGGCGAAGCGTTCTGGCCATCAGTGAGGGCGACGATCGGCAGGTAGCCACGAGCCAACTTGAGCTGCTGGAATCTTTGCCGGGCATCCAAGTAGGTGGCATAGGCGTGGTCATACTCTTCGGCCAACTCTTGAGGATCTTCGGACAGGTCATGGTGTTCTCCAGGTTCATCCTCTTCGCCGTAGTAGATGGCGTCATAGTCAAAGTCAGCCTCATCGTCAGGGGCAGTCATCATACCAGTCGTCGGCCTCATAGTAGGCGTCTTCTGTCCAGGGTTGCTCGGACCAGTAGGCATCTTCTTCATCGAATGCGGCGTAGCCGCGGCCCTTCCAGCGGTTGAACTTTCGATCACGTTCAGCATTCCAGCCGCCTGCTTTGTAGTCCTGACCGAACAGCAGGTACAGGGCTTCGATGACAGGATTCTTTTCCAACGTAGGAGCCTTCAGCGTCACCATTTGGCGTTGCTCCTTTGACAAAGCAGCGCGTCGGAGTAGATGCCATCCTTGAACCTGGACTGGAAGAGTCACATTGTGGGCAGTCAAACGACGATAGGCGGTGTCATGGTCGGTGACGAAGGACAGGAGGCTTTGCTGTGGCTTCCTTTGCAACAAGTTGAAGTACTCCTCAAAGTCATTCGGAAGGAGCACACGATCGTCATACTCGAAGTTCTTGTCGAGCTTGGTGATGATCTTGCTGAAGCCATCCTCTTTCTCAGCCTCTTCAACTGAGAAGTCCTCGAACAACCGCCACGTCACACCCTGAAAATTTCCCAGGATGTTCAGGACGGACTCGGCTGAGCGCTTGCTGATCTTCATCTTGTGGTGGTAGAGCATCAGCCTCTTTCTGTACTCTTTGTAGTCCTGGGGTTGTCCACTGAACAGTGGAACGAAGGAATCGCGCAGATTGAGGTAGTCACCATCCTTGGAACCTTCTGCAGCCGATGTCGTTGGTGGCATTCTCAAACAAGTAGCCAAGACCGAAAGGGCTCTTCAACGAGGAAACAAAAGAGCTCGGCCAAGGGTTCGTGACAAAGGACTTATGCAGAACCTCGTTCTTCTTCGCGCAAAGGACTCGGAGCCCCCCGGAGGAGGCTCCGCTACCAATGCGAAAAAGGTAGCAGCGGCACCCGAAGTCCGCAAACACGAAAACAAGAGGGCGCACTGAAGCGCCGCGGCCGCGCCTTTTGCAAGGCAATTGCCCTCCCAGTCTTGAAAGGGAACGACGGTAAGTGAAGGTCAAAAACAATTCGAACTGCCGAAACACAAGTGCACAGCGTGAACTTTACAATTGAAATATAAATTTAATCCAAATAAGAAAGACCAAAGACATCTAATGTCTAGCATGACACATGCGTGTAATCAACGAACGAATATATATATATCTGGAGATTGATTAATCTGCCTACGGGGGGAAATAAACAATGCATAATTCCCAAATTACAATTTCCATGGAATTACATATTTGGAGAGGATCATTATGGGAATATTCTCTATGTCTAAAGATACAATTTTTGATCTCCTATTGGAAAGCTTACCACCTTGACATAGAAATTAACATATCCTAATGCAATCGAAATCGATCAATTGGTTACAAATAATTCGAAGATTTATACATTGCATGCTAAATCCTATCTTTAGTCGATCGTATCGCATTCCAATTAAATAATATAAAATATAAATATCATATATTCGATACAATATCAAACGAAGACGAATCAATCATCCAAATATCAAACCATTATATATCATAATATAAATATCTTTTAAAAAACATATAAATCATAAATATTTTATTAGTAAAGACCGTCTAACTATAAATGCAATATCATGCAATCGTAATAAAATCTAAATATTATTTAGTTATGGATATATAATGCATCAATTTCGAATTCCCCGAATAAAAGAATATTTTCGTAATAAATATAGATGAAAAAAAAAAAAAAAAAAAAAAAAAAAAAAAATGTTATATCATAATAAAGAATATATTTGAATTTAAAACAACTAAATATCGTCGTATATATATATCTATATTATAGAATATCTTATATAACATCCATTCATTTCCCTTGTTTGAATTTACAACAACAAACCCTTGTTTGCACATATCAATGACAAACGCACATTTGCATAAATACTAATTCCTTCAAATTTGACCAAATTTGCCCTTGAAGGAAGGTGGATGCCTCCCCTCCCCGCAAACGCCTGTTGACAATGGTTGTGTTCAAACCCATTGGGCAATCTATCCATATCTATACAAATGAGCCCCAAGTCTCTATGAATTCCTGAGCTCCAACGTACAAGCCGTATCTATTTTGTTGAGGCAATGTCCGATCGTCCGATTGCTTCCGGATTTCTATAAAGTCGCAAACCGTCATTTCATTCTCGTGAAAGGGTAAGAACCATGTCTCTTATAATTTTTGGTGTGCAAAGTTTCTATCAAGCTTAACATGTCTATTGAATCCCTTCTACATATGAAACCGTTTTTAAGGGGTGTGGAACCCCCTGCTTCCATAATTACTTGCCTTTTATTGGGGATCTTATTTATATTTATATACAACATGTTGTTTTACAAAGCATTGGCCACATCTCTCTTCTAGAGCTCCGTTGGAATCTACCCATCAGCTCTTTTTGGCTTCTGGGTGCGAAGGCTTCGATGCCCATCTTGGCTTCGATTGTAGATCTCCCGAGACGGGGGATTGCTCACATCCAGCACAGGGTTTCTTTGACCCTGGGTGGAGCACAGCCACTTTGGTTGAGCATAGGGCGGTCAAGGATGGGCCCATCTCTGGGAAGGTCTTTGTCCAAAAAAGCTGCGAACGGCTTATGGTTTCTTCAGCCCATCCGCTGTCCGGCTTGCGAACAACCATTGCGAATGTCGATCTAGTCAATGGTCGCACTCACAGGCCGTCGTCCCGTACATCGTCGTCCTGTCTCACATGTTTCGGAAGAAATATTCCTGGAAGTCGACCACTCCCATCCCAGGCTTGGCGATGATGCTTTCCGCCAGGAGCGCCATGCGGACGCGATGCCCAAGGGCGACGTTTCTCCGGAAGGCCTGGAATGACTCATTGCGCTCGATGTGGATCTTGACGTACAAAGGTCCTCCTCAAGTCCAAGCACATATGGCATGATCCGGCCCCTACTTGCCAACGAACATTGGCATTGACATCGTTTCTTTAGAATTTTGGACTCGATAGAAGCTACAGCTCAGGCCAATCCAAGTCCAAAACAACACCCTTTCCGAACGCACGAACCTGCTTTTGACACCGACCCTTTCTATTAAAAAAAGAAAAAGAAAACAACCACATACACATGGATACCCATGGCACCTTGAAGAGCTGCAAAGATCCGCCTTCCAGCATCTTCTGAGACCAGAACACATGGGATTTCGGGATCGGGACTTGTTCGGCCCTGGAAGGTGCGAACCATCGGCCCTTGGAGGAGGTCCAGCGATTCGGAGCTCCAGATGATGCAGCCCACTGCACCCGCTGCCCGGGCAGCACAGGCTTTGTAGGCGAAGCCGCAACCACCGCCCTGGCGAATGAGGGCAATGGCACCTTGGAAGACTTGCTTTTCGAAGGGCAACGTGGCGAAGGGATTCCTTGGCAGCGGATGAAAAAGGACACCAAAGGAAAAGAAGGACACATCTCTCAAAATATCACCATTTTTAGGTAGAGAGCGACGAACACATTCTCACCAAACTCCTTTGTGCCAGTCATCCTGTTACTGCATGTTTACGTAAATATACACATATTCGTATATTTACAATCATATACACATTATAATTTTCTCGTATAGGTCGACCAAACTGAGATTCTCAGCATTGTAGATCACACGATGAAAGTCTGTACTTTGTAGATGTTCGTTCCACTCCGCGTCAATGGCCTGGACGCAATGCCATCTGCTGCAGGGCTTTTCGATGGACCCTGAGCGCAGCTCCAAATTCACGCTCTGGCGTAGCCCCTCGAAGTGTGTTGGCATGTGCACCCAGAATGGGGCCACGTGCCACGGTTGAAAATAACCCAAATGTTGGTCAAGGATATCTTCTTCTCCTTACATGTTGCCAAAAGGATCCAAAAACACATATAAAACAAACGTGGCTTTTGGGGTTTCACCCAGCAAACAGCTTGGATTGATTCAAAACCTCCTTCCACATGACACCTGTAACTCATAACTCATAACAGTTCGGACTTCAAAAGTGGCTTACCTATCAACAGCTCTCCATAAGCCTTGCGCTGGAGAGCTATGCGCAAACCGCTTCTTCTGACTTTGAAGGAAGTAAATGGTACTAACACGTAGTAACCAGTAACTTACTAGCCTTGCTGCACGGGCAACGCACATGCATGCTTCACGGGGCAATGCCACTCCGCCTCGAAACGGACCGCCCTTTGCGAGCGAACCGCTTCGACGGACCTTTGCGGTGCGCCGAGTCTCCAGGTCCCATGTAGGCTTCGCACTGTCGCTGAACGCCACCGCAGAACAAGGTAAAGACCAAATGAAGAAACTGCCGTGTTCCTGAAGGAACAGAAGGAACAGAAGTCTGGACACTTCATGACACTTCCAACCCAGACTTCGTATCTTTCGTGAACACATGTGGGTTTGTATTTTTTTAAGGTTCCCGGGCCGGGATGTTTGACTATGGGGTATGCTTCGGAGGTATGCTTCGGGGGTATGCTCCGGGGTATGCTTCGCGCAGTGTGAAGACTAAAGTAGTAGCATTTCCAGAGGGTATGCTTCAGGGTATGCTTCGGGGGTATGCTTCGGGGTATGCTTCGCCTAAGTCGAACATCCCAGGCTCTTCTTCGCACGACGGATCCTGCCTGTTCTCTGTCGAATTATATACGTGAAGTTTTGTTCGTGGGTCCCAACTTCAGTGGGCTTCATATGACCAAATCATTTCCAAGGCAGGAACCACTTCGTTTGGCTTGACTTGACTTTTGCCTAAAGCTTATGGAGGTCACGATGGTCACAGTTCCCATTTTCACTACAACAACGTTGTTGGTGGGATTGTGACCCGACGAGCTATGATAGCTGGGCTGCTCCTCTTGAGCTACAGTACTTCAAGAGAACCACCTCTCAGCAGTACAGTAATCACCACAGGACATCTAAGGCTTGTGTGTATGTATCAATGGTTGTGCAGGATTCTTCAGAATGATATAACTCTCCTGCAAACTAACATGGAACCTGCGAATTGACCCGTGGAAGACCATGTTCCTCTACAACCCAGTGGTCGTTGGGTTCCATGTTAATCTGCATGGGATATTTCTGGTTTTTGTAACCCCGCCGCATGTGAGTGAAGTGCTCCTCAAGTGAGACATGATGGTATCACAGTGTCAACTGTCCCGACCTTCTGCGCGCCAAAGCAGGTGGTTCAAGTCTGGCATGAAAGCGAAGCCATGGAAGGCAGGATGGCCTGAATTCAGAGTTGCGTGCTTCAAATAATTCAGGACTCTTCCCCAGCTCTAGATTTTCCAGAATGTGGGCCGCGAATATTGGTCCAACCACCATCTTTCGGACACATGGTCGTTCTAAGCTCATTCCGGTTCCAACACCATTCTGCTTTCATGAATACGCTCATTTGTTCCTAGTAGCTTCTTGTTACTACTAGTAAGGCACTTGTTACTACTAGCGATGCACTTGTTCCTAGTAGCTCATTTCTCTTACAGGCCCAAGCGACCGGTCACTTCACCCGGTCGACGAGTCGACGCACCTGATTCTTCCGTGATGAGGCCAAAGCGAATCGCGGTCTCGAAGACCTGCCACGGTAGAGAAAGCGGTGACCCACGTGGTCTGGGTGTTCTTTGTCCGGTTTCCGGAACGGGACGAATCTGGGAGGTATGAAATGGAGATCGCGATAAATGGTATGAGTGGTACAGGAGTGACTTTGGTATACTTTGGTCCACTTCTTTAAACATCAAATCTCAAATATTCGTGCTTGGCTCCAAATTCGAGCATCTCCCCAATTCTCACCCACATTGGGAGTTCGAGCATCATCTGAAACCAATCATTGGAACTTTCACCTTTTCTAGGAGTTCCAGCCCCACATCAAGAACCTCACTTGCTTCTGCCGACTTGTCTTGAAGCGAACGGGCTGTTCCAGCACGATGTCGGTCTGACGTGGAAGAAACTTCCCCACCCCGCTCCGCGAAGGATAGCTCCGCTTGCGCAGCAACACCGTACCCGACCTCACCACCCTTTCACTCCTGCAGGGTGTCCGAGTAAACAGCTTTCGGTGCAGCAAGACCTGGGTCGTCCAGAGCAGAGAGGAACACGTCCCAGTCAGAGCTCTCAAAGCAGCCCGTCACATCGAAGTGAGTCCTGCGCAGACCCAGTGAGGTCGTGAAAAAACCGTGAGGTCCTGCGTCTGGCTATGAGCGCCACGGTCCGGTCTGTTTTGCTTTGGATACTTGGTCACGCTGTGCCAGCGAAACTTTCTATTTGCCAGGCATGCAGCTGTTTATGTGTTTGTATATATATATATAATATCCCCCGTGATTGTTCATAGGCGCGCTGATTTTGCATTTTATAAACTTTGTGGGTTTATAAAATGTGTGGGATAGTTTTTTTGTTTATAAAATGAAAAACCAGCTAGTTTATACAATGACCAGCACAGGTTGTGATAGGTTAAGATAGAAATCGACATCCGAATTGCTCATCGGACATGTCCGTAAGAAGCCAAATCCGGATACTGTATAAAATGAAAATTCGTCATGTCAAGATCTCAAGATTCTGAAATAGTTATTCTTTAGTAATGATTCAGATTCTGAATTTTCAGATTCTGAAAATTTATATTTTCAATAATCAACAACTAAATTTGAACCCACTTTTCAAAACTCTTCAAACCTCAAGGAAAGACCGGAACTGAAAGAATATGACCAGGAAAATAACTAAGAATTAACAATTAACTAGCTACTTTTGGTGCACTTTTCTCCTCTCCCCCTGTCTGTGTCCATTCCCTTTACGGGGGAGGTACCGAGAGGCTTCGGATCGACGGGGGGAGACCGGGCACCGCGGGACGTCGGTCCTTCCGAAGCCAGGCTCCGGCCTTTGACCGATGTTTGGAGACGGTCGCCTCTCGGTACCTCCCCCGTAAAGGGAATGGACACGACAGGGGGAGAGGAGAAAAGTGCACCAAAAGTAGCTAGTTAATTGTTAATTCTTAGTTATTTTCCTGGTCATATTCTTTCAGTTCCTGTCTTTCCTTGAGGTTTGAAGAGTTTTGAGGGCATTTCTGAAAATTTAGGCCTTTTGGACACATATGAAAAATCAATACCTTTTTAGACAGTCCAGAACATGATCTTTGAAACCATGTTCTGACCATCCTCTGACAACTCGACAAGTGAATGTTTATAAAATGAGATTGCGGGGTTCACCTGCCCTCTATTACTGTCATTGAGTGTCCAAGTTAGTAAAGTTTATAAAATGACGATACTCCAGATCTGATGTAGTTATCCTTAAAAAACAAAAAAATCAAATGTGCATTGGAATTTGCATTTTGTAAAGGAAAAGGATCTGCATTTTATAAGCCCACAATCACGGGGATTATATAATGTCATTACTTATGTCATTATGTTTCATTGTAATTCATATCAGATTACCAGATAGATTCTGGTAAATACCATCCCAGTCATCCCAGTCAAGTTGGGAATCCCGTTGGTCCATCGTCACTTGTAATCCAAGTCTCAATCCCAAGCGTTGAACCCTCGCGATGCATCGCCCATCGGCATCGAGCAGTGGGCGCTCAACCAAGTCACCATGAAGACGTTGAGCCATCAGCGAAGAGGTCTCCAGTTCCTCGGCAGGGGCACAAACGGCGGGGCGGTTCCGCCACGTGAACCTAATCCAAGCAGCGCAGCACGATATTGTTGGACAGTGTTAGACAACCTCTAAATCTCTCTCATGAACTGAACAAGAACAGTGCAAAGGTGATGCAGCATTGTCTACACCTGTGAGGCTGTGTTCCAAAACGCCGCAAACGATGAAAGCTTAGGACCAGGAGACCTCCCTTCCCTGCAGAAAGGCGGCGGACAAAAGCATGGCCTTCCATCCTGGCGTTGCTGTCTGGATAAACCAGAAAGGACACCAAAAATCCTATAGTGTTGCTCGCGGTGAAACAAACATGCCGAAGTGGTAGAGCCAAAGGGGGAGATTCCTCTTCCCAGCCCCCTCTAGCAGTTTCCATCTTTCTCCATGGAAGAGTACATGCTTTCTGCTTGCTCTCATCTCAAGGCTTATGTGACTGATGTGCCTTACAGTAAGGGTGCCAGGTCCATTTCCATGAACAACTAACCACCAAACAGATTAAGCAAATGGATCCCACGGTGCGCGGCCTCCACTGGAGGGCTGAGATACACTCAGGCTCGCAAAGGCACGCTTGATGCGAGGCAAATCGTTCACCTCGTCGACCTCTGCGCACCTCCGCAGCAGTCCCAGCCAAACATGCGTGTACCTCGCTCGGGACGAGACGGGACAGGTCTGGGGACGCCGAGCAACGGTCTGGAGATGGGAGCAAAGTGAGGAGCTGAGGGTGTGCAAAAAACAGCGGGCTCCTTGGCTGTTGAGGCTGTTGAGTGATTGATAGTGGTTTTAGACACCTTTTGGATCCGGATCAATGAGTTTCGGCCAGTGGTTTCGGCCAGTGAAATGAAAAAACATGTCACCCTCATCGGCGCGCAGGTGAAGCTCCGACGCTCGGCTTCGGCGCCAGTTCTGCGGCCAAAGCGCTCGGAGCTCGGTGGGACGCCCGAGCGTCGCACCGGCTCCCAGGCCGCCAGGGACGCTAAGCCGCAGAAGCTCAGCACCTGGGGATGAGCAAACATGGTCGAAAGGGACATGAATTAAAAGAATTCAAAGGGCTGAAAGACCGGAAGTGATTGAACATGGAAGTGAGTTGAGACGTGTGGTCAATGCATGACCTTTGTAAATCACGGACATCTTGGAGAGGAAATGGACGTCAACAGTGTGCAACTGACGAGTATGGGGTTCTAGTAAACCAAGTCATTGCAGTGTCATTCCACAAAGAAGTCAAATGCGTTCAAATGCCTTCAACAAAAGCAGCTCGTCCAAATCCTCCATGGCTCTCCATGATGCAAATCGAGGCGACCACAGAAGTTGAGTTTGGCATGCCTCGACCACTGATCAATGCCTCACCGTTTGCCAAGGTGACCACGGAGGAAATTTTCTTTTCTCATTGTCCAAACTGGAGAACTGGATCTGATCGTGTGTGCTCAGGTTTGAGTTGAAGAAGCTGAGAATCCAAGAGTTGAAGCAGCAAATGAGTTCACAGAAGACTCATGATGAATCCAGTCCCATCTGCGCGTTGACCAGTCTGCCTTTGAAAGGGAGAACAGTCCTGGGGATTTGCAACCATCCTGGAGGACAGTTGCCAAAGACAACGCCTCATGGCACAAAGACATGCGGCATGCTGCTCAAGCTTTCGCAGAAACGGTCCTTCGCACCTAACTCTGATGTAGTTTACAGGGTCACCACCTCACAAGGCAGTCTGCGCCCACGTGAGAAGAAGGCGCTTCCCGAATTCGTTGCACGAATTCCACCTCAGTCGACCAGCACTCTGGTGGTTCGACCACTAGAAATCATCAGCCATCGTGTGTCAGTGATGTCGTCGGAACACACGATGAGAACGCCGCCGTGATGACTCTCAACGATGAGAAGTCAGCTGGCAGTCCTCTTCGTCCAAACACCTTTGTGGAGAACCAACCAGCAAAAACCATCCTCAAAAAGGACAGATAGACACACGACAGCCGGGAGACTCACGTTGTTGGAGGCTTTTCTTCTAACTACAAAGAGGGATTTGAGTCCAAGGAGGTCGCTGTCCTTCATGAATCAAACAGCAACATCCAGCTACGTCAGATGGTACAGCGGTTTCATCCACATACTGTACCCTGAGGTTCATGAAACTTCAGTCTGACATGGACGTGCCCACGTCCCAAAAGGTGCGGCTTGATGGGACTCGGGCCTACGCTCCAATCTCGAGGAAATCCACTCCAATCGGTTCTTGAATTGTGGCAATGAACTATGCGTCACATCAATCGTCACAGCGAACCAACTTGTCCACATTCTTTGTCCCTCTGGCAACGCCAACGAGAAGATCCGAACATCTGTGCCTCCACAGAGTCACAGACTAAACGAGGAACTCATGGCCTGCTTTGCTGGCAACACGACGAGTGGCTCTAAAAGCCTATGGCATCTGCCTATGTCGTAAGATTATGCTTATGCCGCTGCTTACGCTCTCCTTACGCGACCACAATGGCAACTTACGCGGGCAGTTCTTGCAAGAAGGGGCTTACACAAATCAACGGGTTGTGGTTCTCCAAAGCAAACCCTTACGCACTGCTAACGCGGAGCTTACGCGGCGCTTACGCAGATTTCCGACACCAAAAGCCTCAAACGGATTCTTCTATAGATGTTCAACCAGCTTGTCAGAAACACACCCTGCATGTTTCAATGGTGTATGCCAGATGTCCATATACGGTGCGCATATGTGTAGATGTGACATGACATGTATGCTCATACTTGGCTTGCTTACGCAGCTTGCGCCACTCATCTCCCAAAAAACAACATATGCAACCTTACGCACACCTAGGTTTTGCTTACGTGAACCATTGATATGACCCCACCACAAACATGAACGGGAGGTTTATAGAGTCGACGTGCAAACCTCCATGAATCCTCCTAACTGTAGAGCTTTTATGAGCTTGTTTTGTTGAAGGCAACAGGTTGAGAAGCCCGAGCCCTTCTGGTGCACTCTGCTTTTGCCCCAACGAATCAACAAGAAATTGGATGATCCAAGAATGCACGAGCAACGCAAATCAACCCAGCGGGTCTCGTATCAACCAGCCAGCTTCTACAAACAAAGCGTCAGGATCTTATGGCACCAGGAGAATTCATCCATCTCTCTGGCCAACCCACCGATATACTGATGTATGTGTGCCTCTGCACCAACAAGTGTCTTGAACTGGGCCTTCAAAAACTCGCCATTCCCCCATTCCATCGAGTTGTCTGCTCGACCAACCCCCTCAAATTGGACTGCTTCGTTGGTGCTTTTCGATTGGATTGTCTGAGAAGGCCAGCTCCAGCTGCAGGACATGCGCGATCGGGTCAACCACTACTGAGACGATGTGAGAGCTCGGGAAGCAAGTGTCACTCGAATTTGACAGGAGTTCGGTGGGTCTCAAAATAGGACGACACATGGCGATACTAAAAAAGCCTCATGGAATGCTTTTTACACACCACCTCTGACCAAGAATCCAGTGGTCGGGGCTTGATAGCAAAAAAACATGTCAAAAGCCATCTCAGACCATTGGAGTGGGATTTCCCTGAACTAAAAAGATCTAAATCTAAAAGGATAGGCCTTGGGAGCCCATTGAATTACCTCTGAAATGGGGATTGCAACTTGACTTCTGAGTTCTCCGTGGCTTACCCATTCTCAGGAGCTCGCTATGTTCATTTGCAAGCGCGGTGAAATTGACGCCCCATTCGCCTCATTCGCTCGGCCACATGGCCAGACAGGCGACAAAAACACTACAATCCACCTAGGAAGATCGATGCATCTCAAACATACGGAGAAATGGAGTAGCAACATGAAATGGATGGATGATGACTGACGTGCCATGAATTGGGGAGTAGCACTTGCTTCAAAACAGCATCCATGCCGCGCATTTTTAGGCCGAGTGAGGGGAACACCATCACCGCCATTCTTTGGTGTGGCTCTTCAATCAGAAGCACACCAACCCTTCTGAATGATCAAACAATCTGACGTAGTTATCGTGCAGATGCCTTCAGTGGCTTGGTGTCCTAACCTGGTCCAACAAAGGGCTGCCTAAGAGACACCATAGATACCAGTAGTTACCCATGCCACCCCTTGTCTCATCCCAGTAGGCATGGCAAATCCTCCCCCACAATATCCCCACCGCCGTGACTCACTTTTCAAAAAATCTAGAGCCATTCCAAATCCTTTATATACACGGCCACGCTGGGTCCCTGCACCCTCGTCATCGATGGTGTTCGCAGCTGCACAACATGGTGAGGCGCCCACGGAGCAACTCCTGACCGCTGCAACGGGTCGCTTTGAGCTGGTCACAGTGTGATGCAATGGAGCTTGGCCAGCTGGAAAGCAAGTTGCGACATCATGGATGACATCATAGATGACATCATAGATGAGCCGGTCTTCATAGTGAAGGTATGCCATCCTTGCTTTTCTTTTCGCCAAATTGATGGATGGTGGGGGTTTCACCCTCTGGGCCACGGCCACCGGCCACGCTCATCAACAAGAGGTTCTCCAACAGCGAACCAAGTCGATTTGTTCACCCAAATCGCAGGCGTTTAAAGACACACATTTTAGTCCCTCCGACTCGCCGGAAGAGCTTTGGAGGATCAGACTATTGTCTCATGATTGTCTTATGCTATATTGTTTCACTGGTTTAAAATAGCTTTCGGCAGTAGCTAGATCTAGATGATGTGAGATGTGTCTGCAGGATTCCAAGTATATATCTGCCAGTCTCTAAGTCTGTCTCTAGTTTGGAATGACGGAACATTCCGTCATTCCAAACAAAAAATACCCACATGTTCTGATCTTCTACCTGAAGATGGCGATCCATGTCGTGCCTTTCGCGCATTCGGAAAAATGGCTTACATGATTGCCCACTAGGCCTGCGGCGGCTTATTGCCCCTTACATTCTCATTCTTCACCGGCTCTTCAAGGTCCGGAATTGATCTCTCCAAAGGCCCGAAGGCCCAAGGCCGATGCAGCCGTGGCTGTGCAAACATGATGGACGCTTGTGATATCGTGTTATGGACGCAAGAATTCTGTGATGGCGATCCTTCAGTGACACTTGCCGAACACGTTGTGTAAGACGACCAGCTCGGCTCCATGTTTTCTGTGACTCACGTGACCCGAAACAAACCCAACAAATCGCTTGCTCCTCGCCCTCCGAATCGCTGTATGCAGC